TTCTGAGTAACTCATGTGCACAAGGAAAATACATAGCCTACCACAAATATAGCATTTCCGAAGTCTTTTCCATTAAAAAAAATCTAGGAATCTAAGCCACCAACTAGTCTACATTTTAGAGCATGTGAACAAATTCAAATTAACCACTCCACTGAAAAGTGGAGCTCAATCCTGTAGAATTCAACTGGTTTCTAACTTAAAATGAGGCAAACATCCTGCCTCCTGAAATCTGTGCACCATTCAACACCATGGTTGCTCCAGCTTTGTCCAGAGAAACATGAAGTGATGAGCTAGCCTGTCCCCCCAGCTCTGCGTGGCCCAGTCTGCTGTGAGCTACAACAGGGCCGGTGCCAGACTCAGCCTTCAGAACCAGCAGGTTCAGTTATTGATGGCCAAACCAAATCAAACCATAAACTTACTACTTACACATTATCCAAGGTTTTTGATATACATGCCTCCTTCTTCTATGTAGTTTTTGATTTTTAAATTTCAACTTTCATAGCCTAACTCTATAATTGCATTTTTAGTAACTATCACACTTAATCTTTTTTTGAAGCAAGCAAAGTAAAGAATGTCCCATTTTAAAAGTCAGAAGACAATGCAAGTAAAAATGCTTGGAGACCAAGTGCTATGTATTCATATAGCATGACTGCTGTTATTAACTGAGTGAGTGGCCTCCAGTCATTTAAATATTGAGGGCTTTAAAAAACCCTTTCAAATGAGGTGATTAAACCACCTTCAACTTTTTATCTCTCAAGTTCGAAGAGTCAATCATTAAAAAATACAAAGTGTTTCCCAAGGAAAGTTTGTTTTGCAGCACAAATAACTAACGGTAGTTCTGGAAAATAATAGGGCAACTGAAAAAAATCGTTCAAGTTGTATATTTTTTTAAAAGCAATGATACAAATTTGAACTATTCATTTTCTCAATATTGCCTATTCTGCAGAACAAACAGCTAAATCAATTATGTGAACCAAGTTAAACTTTTATACAAAATACAGTTTACATAGTCAATATCACAAGGTAAGAAAGAAAACCAAAACTTTCATCATTACCTGGAAAATTGTGGAGAAACCCACCAATATAGCTTTGAAAAATGTTTCAACATTTGGAAATGCGTAATGTAAAAAATAGTCATTGGACAGTTCAAAAATAGCTGGACAGATCTGTGCTCTAATGGCGTATACACACGATCTTAAGTAATCCCATGCAATTTTAACTTTCAAAACATACAGACTTCACAGAAGATTTAGCAGGATAAGTCAGATAGGTAAAGAAAGCACTTGTGATGAGAAAAAGAACATCCCAACAACTGTGCACTTTCAAAGGGTGAATTTTATGGGATGTGAATTATATCTCAATTAAAAAAGATTTTAAAGAAAAGGACATCCCCAGTGTTGTTTAAGTTCTACAGCCAGAATCTCCTGGTCATCACCTCTGGAACCGCCTTCACTATAGCTCGCTCTTCTGTTTCCACTCCTCCTCCTTTGTCCATGTGGCATCACGTAATATTGCACAGACTTTGAATTTCTCATGCACCCCCCCTGGTTGCTGGGCATAGGAAATTTAACTCAACTTTCTGAATCACCCTCTCATGGACTCTTGGTACTTCCAATTTCCTCTTCATCTTTTTGAGGGGGAGATGGAATTTTGATTCCACAAAGCTTTGATTAATGACAAGCTCTCTGAGACAAAAAGAAAGGGACTGAATATTTAACCATTGCTAATAAATGCCAGGGGCTCTGCTGAGCCCTGAATGTCTTTACCCTATTGTTTCTCACAAATACTTCCAAGATCAGGATTCTTATTCCATATGCTAGATGGAAACACTGAGCGGTTTCCATTCAGACACCCAGTGTTTATTCACCCAGGATATGGATCTTATGTTCAGAGGGCACAACTTTAAAAACCCCTTACTGCATAGGACTAATTCAAGCCAGGGAAAACTTACTAAAACAACACAAAGCTTATAAAAAGTGGCATTGTTTGCTAGTGCATTTGAACACCACACTTCAAATAATCCTGAAGAACACTCCCATTCTAGGAGACAGGATGTTTATGCAAATGTGGTCTCCTAATAATACAAAAGAAAGGAGGAAACATACAAGACTATTTCTTTCTTTTTTAAAAATATATTTTATTGATTTTTTTTTACAGAGAGGAAGGGAGAGGGATAGAGAGTTAGAAACATTGATCAGCTGCCTCCTGTACCCCTCCTACTGGGGAGGTGCCCGCAACCAAGGTACATGCCCTTGACCGGAATCGAACCTGGGACCTTTCAGTCCGCAGGCCAGCACTCTATCCTCTGAGCTAAACTGGATAGGGCAAGACTATTTCTTACAACTAAGAATAACACACAAGCCCACCAGCGTGGCTCAGTGGTTTAGTGTCAACCTATGAACCAGAAGGTCACCATTCAATTCCTGGTCAGGGCATATACCTGGGTTGCAGGCTCCATCCCCAGTGTGAGGCGTGTGGGAGACAGCCGATCAATGATTCTCTGTCATCACTGATGTTTCTATCATCTCTCTGTCTCTCTTCCTCACTGAAATCAATTAAAAAATATTTTTAAAAATTAAAAAGAAAAAATAACACACACACCATTCACTGGGAACCTAGGCTTATTGCCACTTCGATGGCTCCTGGGTTTGCCAGAGCCAGTGTAATGGCTTTCCACTTTAATTTGGTTTGTCTCAGAGTTCCATCTGCCATCACTTCCTCCTCCCACCAATAAAACTAAGTGAGGCTAATTTTGGTTGCATTCGACTGGACAGAGAAAGAAGAGCTGCAGAACCTGGAGTTCTTGGTGATCCTGATGCTTGAAGTTTGCAAAATTACTGATCTCTCAACTGCAGCCACTGACTGCTGCATGGCTGATGGCATACCGGAAGGCCTTGGTTCTGAGAACTGCTCCTGGGCATTATCTCGCAGTATACTATTGCGCTTGGAAAAGACAGCCTGGGTTCAAATCCCAGCTCCACCTCTTCCTTGTTGTGTGACCTTAACAAGTTACATTATCTCCCTGTGCCTATTTTCTTATCTATAAAATGGGGATGGGAAGAGCTCCTATCCCCTAGGGCTGTTGAGTGTTCAGCAATCTAACACATGTAAAGCACTAAGAACAATGCCTGCAACGGCTGTGCTATTTAAGTTCCTGTTAAATAAGTAATTCAAACCTAAAAATGAGCATTGTTCACTAAAAGAAATTGCTTTCCTTATAGTATTTTGTTAACTGATTTGTACACGCTTACTTGAATTAGAAATAGGTAAAAATTAATTTGTAAGGCCTCTATTGTTTTGCATAAATGCAATCAGCTAGAAACTCAGAAAGCAACAAAAATTTCCCTTTGTGGGAAAATGGGTTAAACATGGCCTCTCCTATTGATGATATTGCCCCAAATGATTGCTGAGCGGCTCTGCAGCTGTTCATAAGACACAGACTTACTGTTACCCCAGGCAGATGAGGCAGAAAGAAGAGAAAAATGGCTTTTGCTTTAGACCCCCAAGGAGTAAAGGTCCAGACAGGATCATCAACTGCCACTGGCTACTTCAAACTCCAGCAGAACAAAGACTGGCAGACCTCTGGGCTTTATAAAGAGCTTCCCCATCTCAGAGAGACAGTTTAGCCCTGTGGTCGGCAAACTGCGGCTCGCGAGCCACATGCAGCTCTTTGGCCCCTTGAGTGTGGCTCTTCCTAAGCCTTAGGCGTACCCTAATTAAGTTAATAACAATGTACCTACCTATATAGTTTAAATTTAAAAAATTTGGCTCTCAAAAGAAATTTCAATCGTTGTACTGTTGATATTTGGCTCTGTTGACTAATGAGTTTGCCGACCACTGGTTTAGCCCATTATCCTATATAATAAAAAGGTAATATGCAAATTGATCCTCACGCCATAACGTTGTCACAAGATGGCAGCGCATACAGCAGGGGCAGGGCAGCGGGGGCGGGGCCGACGTCTGCTCCGCGTGGCTTCCGCAGGGGTTCCTGCGGCCCTGTGGGGGTGCAGGGGTCCCGGTGTCCACTTTGCACAGCTTCTGCCGGGGTTTCCATGGCCCCGCGTGCGTGCGTGCCGCGGGGGTCCTGGCGGCTGCCTTGCATGACTTCTGCCAGGGTTTCCACTCCCCGTGTGCACGCCATGGGGGCGGGGCCCAGTGGCCACTCCACGCGGCCCAGAGGCAGGGCATTGGGGCAGCACTCTAGGACTCGGGGCACGCCAGTCACGCGGGGCAGGACTCCGGGACTCAGGGCGGTCCCATGGCGTGGGGCAGAGGGGAAGGGGTCCCTGGTCTTGCGTGATTTCGTGCGACGAGTCACTAGTCCTATATAATAAAAGCCTAATATGCTAAGTGTCTGGTCGACCAGTTGGCTGTTCAACCAATCAAAGCGTAATATGCTAATGATATGCTAAGGCTGCTCAACTGCTCGCTATGATGTGCACTGACCACCAGGGGGCAGACACTCTGACCGGTAGGTTAGCTTGCTGCTGGGGTCTGGCTGATTAGGACTGAGTGAGATGGGCCAGACACACCCTGGAGCCCTCCTGAAGTCCCTCCCCAGCTAGCCAACCTCCCACGTCCCTCCCCAGCCCCGATCATGCACTGGTGTGGTCCCTCAGCCTGGCCTGTGCCCTCTCATAATCTGGGGCCCCTCGGGGGATGTCGGAGAGCCATTTTTGGCCAGATCCCGCAGGCCAGGCTGAGGGACCCTACTGGTACACGAATTTGTGCCCCGGGCCTCTAGTTGAATTCATAACCATATTTCTCTTGGAAAGAGCAAAGAATGGTTTATTAGTGTAAATATTAAACATTTACTTGCAATTATGACTTTTTAAATTTTCTCCACCCAAGCTGCTCATTTCACTGCGAAGACATTGCTTTGGCATTCCTAGTGACACTATGTGTCTGAGAACCTCTGGACACTGCTGTGTTCATCTCACCACCTTGGAATAAACCAGCTGGAGTGACAGATGTTTTCTCTGGAAAAAGACCAAGCTTACCCAAATAGTTGTTGCTCTTGTGCATCTCGGTGATGTTGATCTTTGTGGCTCCTTGGGGAATCTCCACAACGCGGTGGTAGCCCAGGCTGGTGAGGGCGTGCTTAAACACGCCCGACACAACCTGACAGCCTGTGTTATCGCCTCCGCACACCCCGCATTTGTCTACCACTTTGTCGGAGCCTAGGTAGTCGTCACAGCCGATGCTCTGCAAAGAGGTGGAAACAGAAGATTCTTGTAGCATCTCTCAGGGGCATCCGAGGAAAGAGGGGAAAGGGATGAAGATCTAGTGGTGGGACTCAAATTGACCCTCCTCCTGCCCCATTCCATTCCTACAGATGAGCAAGTTCCTGCTTCCCTTCACTCAACAGATTATCACAGAGCATCTACTCTGGGCAAGGACCTTCTCTTCTAAGTATGTGTGAAATGTACATTCTAGGGACTGGTGGGGAAACAGACAGTAACAAGACAAGTAAACAAAAGAATGCATTTGGTGGTAGAAAATGACCAGGAGAAAAATAATGCAGGGATAGGGGTAGGGAGTGTGGGGCTACAGACACTTATCACACAGGCTGGACAATGAAGCTGTCCTGCAGATCCATCCCCCAAAGGACTCAGAGAGGAGAGGCAGGGCCATGCTGGGACTTTTATATAAACAAGTTCTTTGAGACCATAAGTGCCACACTTAACACTGGGGTCTGCCCCCAAGTTTTCTGTTCTAAATGACTTGATGATACAAACACTTAGCAAAGTACCCCTAAAAGTCATGTTCTCGGGCCCAGTTTCTTAGGAAATTAAATTTGTTGAGATTTGGGTTCCCATTGTTCACTGTGGCTCTGAGGAGCTGGATAGAGGACTTCTGTTTGGCTCCTTCAACGCACTTCCTCAGGGCAGAGGGTGCAGGGAAGCAGGGGCCAGAAACATCAGCAACCTGGATGATCACATCTAAATCAGGGGTATACAGAGATGGCACAGGCGTTCTCATCAGTGTTTAAAGGAACTCTGACTTCCCACATTTCCTCCTGAAAGAATCTCCCATTTCTCATTCCAAGATTTTTTGCTTTATCTTTCCAGTCCCCATTTATGTTTCTGTTGGGGCAATTTTATTTTGCATAAAAAAGCTAAACCTTGGATCAGAATAAACGATCGGCATGGAATCCTTTTCCACTCCTGAAGCTGATGCAGAGAACTCACAACGCACTCCTAAACCCCAAATAGGAACACGTGATCTGAGCAAAGACTTCCATCACCTCTCCCAGGCAGACAGAGCAGTGGACTGTGGCATGGACAATGAAATACAGAATGACAGAATTATTGCACTGAGGTATGGGAACAGGGAACAATACTTGAAACCAGAATGGAATTCTAAAACTTGAGACACATGTTTGCTGAAGACAGGCTTGTGTTGTTTTTTGAATTCTAACCATCAGACCTCATCTCAGGGGCGAAGTGGTCTGCAAACCATTAAAAGTCCACTTCTGATCTTGTTAAACAAGCCTGGGTCTGTGCATGTGGGTCCTGCGGGTCAAATCATACAGGCAGAGTCAAGTCAGGAGGTGTTCATTCTTCCCCTCCAAGTTCACACTGACTGACATAGTTCTGCAGGCACTCCAGGTCTGCACTATTACTGCCATATTCTTGAAAGCAGTTAGTCCATCAACAATAACTGGTCACTTCACAAATAGCTTCTCTGCAAAACATTATTTCTGACAATAACAGAATATCATCTCAGTATGTTCATTCACATGCAATTAGCCTTTCAAAATGCCATGTTTGCTCAAATATTTCTTGTCCCTGCCCCATGCATATTTTAGCAGGGCAAAAATGTTTTCCACATATGATTTCCACCTTCTCAACTCCTCAGTTCTCCTTTGCTTTGAAACAAACAAAAAATGCCACCACCAACAGAGATTGTTGCAAGATCCTAACAGAATTAAGGAGTGCCTCTGACTGTATGGCCATACAAGCAATGGCAAGAACTAAAGGGGCGACATTCTGTCTCTTCAGAGTTCGGCTCTGGACTCTGAATGCCCAGGGTTCACTCCTCAAAAGAGAAATCAGAACTAGGGGTATGCAAACCTTGCTTGGGGGTGACAAGAGCTGACGAGCACTGTTGGGGTCCAACCCCAGCGGGTCCAGGGGTCCCCAAAGGTGTGGACGGAGTCGGCGAAGAAGGAATGACACGGAGACAGCCTTTAGTTGATCAGCAGCCTAGTCAGGACCTCTAGCCAGGATCTCCAGCCAAAGTTCTGGTTGGGACCTCCAGCGAAGTTCTGGTTAGGATCTGATCAGGATCTGATGTTTATTGTCTTGTTACATCTATATTTATACCAGCCGATTTTAATCCTGTCAATTTCTATTACAAAGGTTAGGGCGTTTCTTATCTCCATTCCAGGGAGTAAAGATTATGTAGCTTAACTACCCGCCTGGCACTTAATTAAGGGGTTGTATACCCTCCCTAACCTCAGGGAAAAATCCCTACCTGGGGAAACAACCTTTCTCGGAGAGGTGACCTTGGTTAAAACACATGGCGCTTAAGGAGAGCAAACATATTAAGAACAATATGCTATATATGCCAGGTCCCTTGAAACATATGCTGTGCAGATGTTTCTTTCCTGCAGCGACTGTGTCAAGCAGCAAGGATGGACCGGCTTCCGGCAGAGCACCCTTTCAGTGTTCCAGTGATTACCCCAGGTCTCTGAAAGACTGGGTTGCCATGGAGTTGCCAAATGCCCCACAGGCACTTCACAAAGCAGGAGGGACAATCCTACAAGGAGGACTGGGCAGACAACATGCATTCAAGATCTTTATTTTCAGGTAATTATATACCTGACAACTGTCCCTTCTCCAGCCGAGGGCACATGTGAGAATCAGATGATATAATGAGGGGCCATTTGGACTGGGTGTCCAGGTGTGGCCTGGCTAAGGGAGTGACCTATGGGCCAGGACCCGAGTGACAGGAAGGCCCAGCCATGGGAGAACCTAAACATGCAAACATGCATTTTCATCGCCGATGCTGTGGAGTGACTACACCAGCAGGTGGGCGAGGCCATCCCAGGCTGTATCAAACTCCGTTTCTGCCTTCGGGAATTTGAGTCTAACTGGGGTGATGGGACACACATATGGATTTATTAGACAAGAGGAGGCCTGCATTCTCTATGTCATGCTGGGCCAGGATTTACACTCTTTTAGAAAGTTGTTAATTAACAATGAGGTACATAAAGTCTAGAGGATGATGCAACCTCCCAGCCTGAACTAGGGGAATGGTGATGGAGTGAAGAGGATTTGAGAGACATCTAGGAAGCAAAATGGACAGGCCTTTGTGACTGATCAGTTGGAGGAGTTTCAATCGTTTTCAGCATCATCATATTCACAATTACAGTCCTCTAAACATGCATTTTTCTCATTTAACCTTAAAAGCAATCTGTGATATTGCTTTTGTAGGAAAGACTTAGGAAAGAAGTTAGGACCACGGGAACACACCAAGATACTTAGTTTTGCCCCGGCTGGTGTGGCTTAGTTGGTTAAGCACTGTCCCATGCACAGAGAGGTCACAGATTCCATTCCTGGTTAGGGCATATGCCCAGGTTGCGGACTCGATCCCTAGTAGGGGGCGTGCAGGAGGCAGCCAATTGATATTCTCTCTCTCTCTCCCCCCTCTCTCTAAACATCAATAAAAAATATTTTTTTAAAAGCTAGAGCTGGGATTTGAACCATAATCCCATGCTTTTAACCATTATGCAAAAATCCTCCCAACTCCTGGCCCCGCCCCGCCCCGCCCAAGGATCAGAGTTCCAGCTTTGTTGAAGGAGTGGATGGTAGCGGTGACTAAATGCAGAGGAAGAAGTCCAGCACTGTTGTCACATCTCAGTGAGAGCCTGGCCCAGAAGAGACTGGCATTCTCCTCTTCCAATATTACGGAGCACCAACCACGTACGTATCTCTCCCACGTGGACTGCTTTAACCCTATACTTTACACATAGTAAGTGATTAAATATTTTAGTTAATCTTCCTATTACATTAGTTTTTATTGTTATAAATTTTTATCTTGAAACAGTTTGACTCACAAGCAGCTGCAAAAACAATACAGAGTTTCAGTGCCCCTTTACCCCGCCTTTACATGACAATTCCTCACATAAGCATAGCCCAGCATCAAAGCGTGGCCATCAGCACGACTCATTAACTCATGAGTAAGCCTGACTTTGATTTTACCACTTTTTCTTGGTGTGTAGTTCTATAAATTTTATAACATGTCTAGATCCCTGTACTGTGCTCCTGTACAGCAGCTGGCATTCTCCAGAACACGGCCATGTAATTGATCAGCGGAGCTGCTGTCAGTTAGCAGGAAAGGCAGTCGGCACCATGGAGAGCACGTTGGACTGGGACTCAGGACACCTCGGGTGAGCCCTTGCTCGACCCCTGACTGGTTGTGTGATGCCCGTGGGTCACTTCTCTGTGGAGTTGGCACTGAAAACATGTCTACCACATCCAGATCTTTGAGAAGATAGTGTCCAAAAATGAATTTGGCCTGAATTCTGGTTTGTATCTTGGGAGACTGGTCAATTGGTTTCTGAAGCAGATGACTTAACAGTGATGGCCTATGTCTCCCAACTCTCTCAGAGGCACACCAAAGTGCCATCAGTGGGAGCTTAAGGTGGCACTAGTCTCTGCTGGACCTAGGTCATGGGCTGGCTCTGCCACTTGGGGGCACTGCCCCTTTGGACATGTTTACTAGGCATTCTGAGCCTCAATTTCGTTATCTGTGGCTGGGGATGGTGCAATATCTACCTCAGAACACTGTTGGGAGGATCAGAAGAGGTAAACATGGAAAGCACTTAGCAGAATGCTGTTAATAGGGTGTCTTCTTATTTTTATCACTGACTTCATATATTGGTTTCATCTGGAATCTATTTTTAAGTAAACCTCATCATCATGTAACCATACTTGGGTCATATTTCTATAACACTTTCTATTATTATTATTATTTTTTTAATATATTTTATTGATTTTTTTACAGAGAGGAAGGTGAGAGGGATAGAGAGTTAGAGACATTGATCAGCTGCCTCCTGCACACCCTCTACTGGGGATGTGCCCGCAACCAAGGTACATGCCCTTGACCGGAATCGAACCTGGGACCATTCAGTCTGCAGGCCGATGCTCCATCCACTGAGCCAAACCGGTTAGGGCGGCTTTCTATTATTTTTTAAT